AGAAAAGACTGACAGTCAGGTGTGGTGGCTCCCTGTAATCTTAGCTATTTGGGAGGTTGAAAATAGAGGACCATGGGAAAAAGTATATGAGACCCCATCTCAACCAGTAAAAAGTTGAGTGTAAGCTTTGCTATGTGGGAAATATAAATAGGATTGTGGTCCAGGCCAACAGGCAAAAGCAAAACCTTACTAAAGGAATAGAAAAGGGAGAATGGCTCAGAAGGTAGGGCCACCTGTAACAAGCACGAATCCCTAATTAAAAAAAAGTCAGTGACATACCATGGAGTTATAAACATGGTTTATTCATTTAAAAGAAATCAGTATTTTTCCATTATCTAAAGATTCTTAGGGTTGATGTCTTTTCCTTTAGCTAGTAACCATTGCATCTTCTGATTAGTTCAAATAGGTTTAAAAAAAAATACTTTCGGCCCAGGCCCTGGTGACTCATGCCTGTAATCCTAGCTACTGAGGAGGCTGAGATCTGAGGATCGCGGTTCAAAGCCAGCCCAGGCAGGAGAGACCGTGAGACTCCTATCTCCAATAAAAACCACCAGAAAACCAGAAATGGCGCTGTAGCTCAAGTGGTAGAGCGCTCGCCTTGAGCTGAAGAGCTGAGGGACAGCGCCCAGGCCCAGAGTTCAAGCCCCACGACCGACCAAAAAAAAAAAATACTTTCGGGCTGGGAAGGTGGCTCAGTGGTAGAGTGTTTGCCTTGCATGCCTGAGGCCCTAGGTTCCATTCCTCAGCACCACATAAGCTGAAAAAGCTGGAAGTGGCTGCGGTGGCTCAAGTGGTAGAGTGCTAGCCTTAAGCTGAAGAGCTGAGGGACAGTGCCCAGGCCCAGAGTTCAAGCCCCACCACCAACAACAAAAAACAACAAACAACAAAAAAACCTTTCTTAAGGAGGTGAGGCTTGTTTATTCCATAGAAAGAACCTGTATCAAAAAAAGGAAGTGAGGGACAGAGGGAGTAGAGAAGGAAGGAAAGAAGGAAGGAAGGAAGGAAGGAAGGAAAGGCTGGCTCGTGCCTGTGATTTAGATACTTGGAAGGCTGAAACTAGCCCAACCTGGACAAAAAGCTTGCAAAATCTCAACCAGTAAAAAGCTGGGTATGAGCCAGGCACCATTGATTCATGCCTGTAATCGAGGCTGAGGGTCGCAAATCTAAGCTAGTTCTGGCAGGGAAGTCTGTGAGACTTTTTTTTTTTTTTTTCCCCAGTCCTGGGGCTTGAACTCAAGCCTAGGCACTGACCCTGAGCTTCTTTTGCTCAAGGTTAGTACTCTACCACTTGAGCTACAAGCACCACTTCTGGCTTTTTCTGTTTATGTAGCACTGAGGAATGGAACCCAGAGCTTCATGCATGCTAGGCAAGCACTCTACCACCAAGCCATGTTCCCAGCCAATAGTCTGAGACTCTAATTCCACTAAAACTACAAAAAATTGCCAGAAGTGGAGCTGTGGCTCAAGTGATAGTGTGCTAGCATTGAGGAAAAGAAGTTTAGGGATAACATCCAGGGCCTGAGTTCAAGCCCCAGGATGGGCACACACACTACCCACACAAGCTGGGCATGACCGTGCCTGTCATCTCAGCTATATGGGAAGCATATAAAAGAGGATTGGGGGCTGGGAAAGTGGATCAGTGGTAGAGTACTTGCCTTGCATGCATGAGTCCCTGGGTTCAGTTCCTCAGCACCACATAAGCAGAAAAAGCTGGAAGTGGTGCTTTGGCTCAAGTGGTAGAGTGCTAGCCTTGAGCTGAAGAGCTGAGGGACAACGTTCAGGCCCCATGACCAACAAAGAAAGAAAGAGAGAGAGAGAGAAAGAAGGAAGAAAGGAAGGAAGGAAGGAAGGAAAAGAAAGGATTGGGGTTCAGACTGATTTATAAAAGCAAGACCAACAATAATCAAGCAAAAAGGACTGGAAGTGGTAGAGTACATGGCTAGCAAGTCCAGGGCCTGGAGTTCAAACCCCAGTACCATCAAGAAAGAAAAAAAAAGGGAAAAGAAAGCTGTGATATTTACCCAGTCTTGTGCATAGATTCTTCTGTGGATAAACTTGAAAGCATAACCCCAAGATCTTGCAGTATGAAGCCATCGACTTATCTGGGAATAATAGTTGCCAAGGTAATTCAAGCAGGATCTACCACAGGACAGGGTGCAAGGCTCTTTACAAGATGATACCTAGTGTCTTCTCAGCTTTGTTACTTAGTACCTTCCCTTATATACCTTCCATTTGACTTGGCTCAGCTTGCCTTATCTACATCACATGGCCTTTGGCCTTCTGTGTAGAGTTGATCAATTTCATCCCCATCATTTCTGGTTGGCAGATCCCTGGTTTACTTTCTCTGCCTATGTAACTCTTCCAGATGCCTTTGGGTATTAGTTCAGTTCTTATCCATTCCATTGTTAAGGACTCGAACCAGTATTTGTGGTGTCTATATGTCTGACTTCTCTACCAGATAATGCCCCAAAGACAAGGGGGCATTCTCTAGGGCCCAGTATGGGCTTTGGAAATAGGCGTGTATGGGTTTAACTTTCAGATCTGCCAAGTTTTTTTTTTCCATTTTCTTTTTTAAAATAATTTTTTATTGTGGTTAAGTGATTACTTAAATTTCACAAATTTCACAGTATTGTGAGATAGTGATAACTCAGGTAAAGTCACAAACACATTCTAACCTTCATGAGGCAAATTGTCATTATCCTGGTCTATAAAGTTTGTGAATTCTATAGCTTTGACAATACAGCTATTTCTTCCACATTGGGTGAGTATGTACATTTCTTTCCGCTATCCTCTCATTCCCTCCCTCCCATCACTGCCCTTGAATTGCTTAATTCCTTTTCATCAGTGTCCAGTGCAGCGGATGGGCCCCTCTGTTGTATGTTTTCCCCTGTTTCCCTCTGATTCTGTGTCCTCCTCCTAGTTTCCCTCAGATGTGTGCATATATACCATATACGTGGCCAACAACATGGGTCATTTAGTAATGATACAACAAAATGAGTGGAGGTCCTTAGTTTCTTGAATCCTGTTTACTTTGTCATATCTCCTTGCATTTTGTATTTAACATCCACGTATCAGGGAGATCATGTGCCATTTGTCTCTTTGCTCTTGGTTTACCTCATTCAAAATGATTTTTTTCTTTTTCTTTTTTTTTTTGGGGTCCAGTCATGGGACCTGAACTCTGGGCCTGGGCGCTGTCCCTCAGCTCTTCAGCTCAAGGCTAGCACTCTCCCACTTGAGCCACAGAGCCACTTCCGGCTTTTTTCTTTTTGCTTATGTGGTGCTGAGGAATCAAACCCAGGGCCTCAGGCATGCAAGGCAAGCGCTCTACCACTGAGCCACCTTCCCATCCCCTCAAAATGATTTTTTTCTAGTTTCATCCATTTCCCTATAAATGCCATTATTTTGTCCCTTCTAATGGCTGTAGCAAGTTTTTAGCAGTTCTGAACCTCTATTGCTGCAGAATTGTAGCAAAGATTAAAAGTATGTGTTCATTTAGTAACAATGCCATATGAGGGTCTTTAGTTAAATGTAAAAGGCAGGCTAAATGGCTAAGACTAGTGAAATAGGTCTGGGGATATAGTTCAACAATAGAGTGCTTGACCAACATGCACAAAGTTCTAGTTTCAGTTTTTTGTGGGTTTTTTTTGTTTGTTTTTTTTTTTTTTGGGTCCAGACGTGGGGCCTGAACTCTGGGCCTGGGCACTGTCCCTCAGCTCTTCAGCTCAAGGCTAGCGCTCTACCACTTGAGCCACAGCGCCACTCCGGCTTTTTTCTTTTTGCTTATGTGGTGCTGAGGAATCGAATCCAGGGCCTCAGGCATGCAAGGCAAGCACTCTACCACTGAGCCATCTTCCCAGCCCCTAGTTTCAGTTTTTAGCACTCAAAGGAAAAACAGTGAAATGAATGTCGGTAAGGAAAGAGTAGATGGATTAATGTTATTTGGGGGGAAGAATTTAAATGTTTGTCAAAAGTTAAGGTGAGCCAGGCATTGGTGGCTCATTCCTGTAATCCTACCTACTCAGGAGGCTGAGATCTGAGGATTACAGTTCAAAGCCAGCCTAGGCAAGAAAGTCAATGAGAGTCCTATATCCAGTTACCAGAAAACCAGAAGTGGAACTGTGGTTCAAAGGGTAGAGTGCTAGCCTTGAGTAAAAGAGCTCAGGGAAAGCGCCCATGCCCTGAGTTCAAGCTTATGACCAATTTTTTTAAAATAATAATTTCAAGTGTTTTTTCTGAATATAAGCACAAATTTTACTGTCATATCTTCATGATCAAGATGAAGGTAGTACACTTGCAGGGAGGGGCCAGTGGCTCACACCTATAATCCTAGCTACTCTGGACACTGAGTTCTGGGGGTCATGGTTCAAAGCCAGCTTGGGAAGATAAATCTGAGAGAATCTTATCTCCAGTTAGCCAGCAAAAGATGAGAACTCAAGACTCAAGTCATAGAGTGAGCAAGAAAGCAGAGCCAGAGTTGCAAGTTGAGTTCAACAGAGACACAACCAACACAGAAAGAAAGAAGAAAATAGAATGGGAGGGGAATGGGGTAGGGAAGGAAGGAGATAGGAGGAAAGGAAAGAAGGAAGGGAGGGAAAGAAAAACATGGTGGACTCAAAAACTGTCAAATAACTGAAGTCTGGTTATTAACTGTATGAAGGATCATCTTAGATTAGAAATTGGTTAAAAGAAGAAAATTATTGGAATGAGTTGTCTAGAGATGGCAAGACCTCCTTGTTTGGGTGTTTCTAAAGCCAAGGCCAGTTCCCATGAGGAATGGTGTGGTACTGGTACTAGAAGCTGCTTCAGAGCCTGTCAACCACTGTAGCATCACAGCTTCTCAGGAAGTAATGGTTATAAACAGTATGTTTTGTCCAAAAAAGAAATAAATTCATTCATTACCTGACTTATGAAATGGCAACCTCTCCATATATCACCTGTATAACAATTTTAAAAAGAAAAACAAAAACAATGTGTTGACCAAATTCTTTTTCTTTGTTTAGGTAATAAAGCTCTTACAGTCAAAATACCACTCTAAAGAAGAGGCTGAACTCATCTGTGATAAAGTTCAAGTTAAACTCAGCAAAGAATGTTTTCATCCTTACAGTACATGTATTACAGATCTGAGGACTTCACACTGGGAAGAGGCAATCCAGGAAACAAAAGGTGGTGCTGACAATAGGAAATTGGCGGAAGAATGTTATTTTCTCTGGAAATCTACACGTTTACAGCATATGACCCTACCAGAGGATGTCAAAGCCATGCTTACTGAACTGCGCAAAGAGGTCCGCCTGCTCTTGTTAACAAATGGTGATAGGCAGACACAGAGAGAGAAGATAGAGGCTTGTGCCTGTCAATCCTACTTTGATGCTATCGTTGTAGGTGGAGAGCAGAAAGAGGAGAAGCCAGCACCTTCCATATTTTATCACTGTTGTGATCTTCTTGGAGTACAGCCTGGGGACTGTGTGATGGTTGGTGACACATTAGAAACGGATATTCAAGGAGGCCTCAATGCAGGGCTGAAAGCAACAGTCTGGATAAACAGAAGTGGAAGTGTGCCAGTGATGTCATCCCCTGTTCCACACTATGTGGTTTCTTCTGTGCTAGAATTACCAACCCTCTTACGAAGTATAGATTGCAAAGTCAGCTTGTCAGTTTAAATCATTTAAAGGCATGGTGACAATGTTTACAGTCAATTTACAGGGTTGGAACTGAGGAAAGGCATTTTATGTATTACGGTCCAGTTCTAATTATAGTGTGATTTCGGATTTAATGACTATATTATAAAGGTTCTCCAACTCTATTGCTTTTGATATGCAACTGTAAGATTTGTATTTATATCTGAAAATCCAGATTGTATTAATACAAGTTACTTTTAGTAGGAGGTCCAGCAAACTTGAAGAAATGTAGTATTTGTTAGTCTATTACTTGAGATTTATAAAATTATTTTAATAATTTTTTAGTATCTTGGCTTCAGGATACTAAGCAGGGTAGCATACCCCTGGATATACAAGTGTGGGTGTTTGGCTTAGAAATAGATATTTTTTAATAAATAGATATTCTAAAACATAGTTATTCATAATCTAGTTAATATTGAAATAAGTACTAAGTTTAGCAAATCATGGTGTTTCCTAGTGAAACGTTGAATATTTTTAAAACATAAATCATATTTTTGGCTACTCTGGGTGTGTATATTCTTTTCTATTGTGAATCTGATGTTCCTGCCTGACTTTGGAGTATGGGGTGTCTTTCTGTGCTGTGTATATGACAAGTAGATTTTTTCCAGTTTAAAAAGGAAAAAAAAAAGAGCTAATAAACCAACATGTGGTACTCCTTCTTCATGCCATTTTCACACCTTTCTAGAGCAAACACAAGGCTTTCATATAGTCTTTTAAGTCCTATGGAAATATTTTTTCGTATCTTTTCCAAGGCACACAATCGAGTTAAGGGGACTGGGCTGTTTGCTAAAGAAAATTGCTACAAGCCATTTGACTAAAAGTCATTTTCCTTCTGTGGGTTTGTAAGACGAAGGTTGCCTCTGTGTGCCTAACCAGCTAGTCTCCCCACCCCTATCTGTGTTTACGGAGTTGTTCCTCCCATGTGATGAAACTAATAAAAAATCAGATATTATTAACTTAGTTTCAGGGTACCATTTTAACACTTGAGTGCTTCTTAGAGTTACCATCTGCCTTAAAGTTTTTTTTATTTTTCAGAACTAAGTAATTATTTTACAGACTTCTATATCTACTTCAAGGCTCACTTACAGCTTATTAATTAATGGCTCTAGCAAGGCATTAGTTCACAACTAGAACAACTTCCAAATACAATTAGGCTAGATAGGCTTATAATTCCACTGATACAAGTTGAAGTGGAGTAGCTAATAAAGGTTAAAAGTGACTAAGGGAACTATTGCTTGCATTCTTTTTGGTAGGCTGTATTTAAAAAAAAAAAAAAACATGATAAGAAAGTATTAGTGACCAGGTACAGTGACATACACCTATAATTCTAATCCTTGGGTTGTGGAGGGCAGAAAGTTTCAGAGTTTGAGGCCAGCATGGACTGCTTAGCAAAACCCTTTCTCAACAAAAGAAAAATGAATGCCCAAGTATATACATAAGATAAATTATTTGGAAATGTATAGCTGAGATTCTGTAATTCAAGGTAATCTGTAAACCTAAAACTATTTGTCTTCTACAACTAAGAACCAGATTTTCTGCCTTATGCACATGTCTGTTTTGTGTTTTCTTCTGATTTGATTTTGAGAATGATGATTGTGATCCAGGAAGCTGTTGCTAAGAAGCTGAACACTTGGTGTTTAGAGTTCCAGGTACAATCCCTGTAGGAAATTTTGCCTATTTAAAAGTTGTTGAGGAAGTGGCGCTGTAGCTCAAGTGGTAGAGCGCTAGCTTTGAGCTGAAGAGCTGAGGGACAGTGCTCAGGCCCAGAGTTCAAGCCCCACCACTGACAGAAAAAAAAAAGTTGGAGAATTTGGGCAAGAACTGTGTTCATGATGTTCCTAACAGAGCAGTTGACATGTTTGTTGTCTTATCTGTTCCACTGGGTGGATGATGTAGGTATGTGGTAGGTGTGTAGCATCACAGTCTCTGTGCTAAGTGTGGGGTTTTATCACTTTGAGAGTATTAAATGAGATTTCTTTGGCAAAAAAAAAAAAAGCCAGGCATTGGAGGCTTATGCCTGTAATCCTATCTATATATAAGGCTGAGGTCCTGAGGATCACAGTCCAAAGCCAACCCCAAGCAGGAAAGTCCATGAGACTTACCTCCTATTAACTACCAGAAAACCAGAAGTGGCACTGTGGCTCAAAGTGGTAGAGAGCAGTAGCCTTGAATGAAGATGCTCACTAAGCGCCCTGGCCCTGAGTTCATGCCCCAGAAACAATAGGAAAAACAACAAGAGCTCAGGGACAACACCCAGGCACCAAGTTCAAGCCCACAACCAACCAAAAAAAAAGGAGAAAATTAGATGAAATTGACTTGTCTTAACAGTTTGCATTATATACAGAACAGCATTGCAATCCATTCAGTTTGTACTCTTCCTCAGGGAGGAACTGTGTGGCTTCTAACCTGGACAGAATGTTAAAGAGGGTATTAGGAAGTTTGGAATAGGGCTGGGAATGTGGCTTAGTGGTACAGTGCTTGCCTAGCACGCATGAAACCCTGGGTTCTATTCCTCAGTATCACATGAACAGAAAAAGCCAGAAGTGGTGCTGTGGCTCAAGTGGTAGAGTGCTAGCCTTGAGCAAAAGAAGCTCAGGGACAGTGCATAGGCCCTGAGTTCAAGCCCCAATATTGGCCAAAAAAAAAAAAAAAAGAGAAAATGTTAGAATAGAACTATGATCTTACTAACACTGGTTTTGGTTACAGTCGTTTTTAACTAAACAATGATAAAACAATCATGTTTTGTCATCTGCTTTCCCCTGGTGTCAGGGCCATAGAAAGCATGTTTGGTTTTCCAAACATTGCAGTTAAGATTCTTGGGGGTCCTTGTGGACATGGTAAACACCTAGGCTGTTGCATAGTGAGCAAATTCTGAGAACACATACAAAAAAAGCTAAGCTGGTCCATGCAGAAAAAAGCTAACCAAAAGTTTGAGGCCCTGAGAAAAGAAAACCTGTCTCTCTCTCTCCCTCCCCCCCCCCCCCACCTTCTCTGTGTGTGGTGTGCTGGTATTGGGGCTTGAATTGGGGGCTTTTTTACTCAAGGCTGGCACTCAGCCACTTGAGCCATGGCTGTACTTGAGTCTTTTTGCTGGTAGTCGATAAGAGTTTTAAAGACACTCCTGGCCAGGCTGGCTTTGAATCATAATCCTTAGATTTAGGTTTCAGCCTCCTGAATAGCTAGGATTGCAGCTGTGAGTCTATAGGAATGCAGCTGTGAGTCTTTGGTGCCCAGCAAAATTTCATGAGTACATTTAAAACCCCAGCAGTAACTATCCATAGGATGAAAAATAGAACAATTTGGAATGTGCCTTTATTTCAAATGAGTTTGTAAGAAATGCTGCAGGCTACTTACTGAGTATAGTGCTGAAAGTATCTACCACAAAAAGAAAGAGGGCAAAGTAGGCTGGGGGGTGAAATTCAATGATAGAAGCACAAGGTCCTGGTTATAATCCCCAGCACTGCAAAGAATAAAAGTAAAACGCAAAAGTAGCTACAGTAATTTAAATAGAAACTAGAAGAGAGCAAGAAAAATTCTATGTACAGTTGGGGACTAATCTCAGTGTTAATGTACTTGTCTAGCATGTGTGAGGCTTTGGATTTGATCCTTGCCACAGCCAAAAAGAAAAAAATGAATCGCAGTAGTAATCTGTTTTTGCTCCCACATTTTTAGTAGCATCAATTAGTTGTACAAGGTGGTTGGGCCGGGCACTGGTGGCTCATGCCTGTAATCCTAGCTACTCAGGAGGCTGAGATCTGAGGATCGCAGTTCAAAGCCCGCCCAGACAGCAAAGACCGTGAGACTTCTATCTCCAATAAACCACTAGAAAACCGGAAGTGGCGCTGTAGCTCAAGTGGTAGAGCACTCGCCTTTGAGCTGAAGAGCTGAGGGACAGCACCCAAGCCAGAGTTCAAGCCTCATGATTGACAAAAAAAAAAAACAAAGTGGTTGTTTCATTTTGATATGTCCTTACATACATATAATTTACCTTGATCAGACTCATCTGTTACTCATCTTCATTCTTCCCCTTCCTAAACTAATCTCAACTATCTTTATTGTTCCATTTTCACACGTGTACATGAAGTATTTGACCATATTTACCCTCTTACCTTCTAGGTTCACCCTACCCGACAGGACCTATTTTACATTCCTGACGTTTATTTATTGTTAGTGTATGCTAGTTACTCAGAGGTTTCATCTTGGTGTCTCACATATCAAGGGTACGTGTTCTCCAATTTACTTCAGTCTGCTTTATGCCCTCTCATCTCACTGGCAAGAGCTATCCGAAGAGTGTAAGTATCATGCCTGTCAATGGGGGAAGTGACTGCTTTGTCCACCCAACTGTCATCAGAAAAAGCCCAGGAAAGGTAAGAGCAAAGGTAAGAAGAGAGGTCTTTTCTCAAAGCAAAGAAATAAGCTAAACTGTGCTACAGAGTAACAATATCCTTTTTTGTTGTTGTTGTGGGGCTTGGGCGCTGTCCCTGAGCTCTTCAGCTCAAGGCCAGCACTCTACCACTTGAGCCACAGCACCACTTCTGGTTTTCTGGTGGTTAATTGGAGATAAGAGTCTCATGGACTTTCTTGCCCAGGCAGGCTTTGAACTGTGATCCTCAGATCTCAGCCTCCTGAGTAGCTAGGATTACAGGTGTGAGCTACCAGTGCCCAGCTAACATATCCCTTTATCATTTCTCTTATTTATGTTAGTAAAATAAACCACTGTACTTTAAAAAATCTAATTACTGCAATGTTTGGCATATTCAACAAGTAGCTCTGTTTTGGTTACTTCATTTTTATAAAAGTGGTATTTATTTATGGCACTCCAGTTTGAACTCAGAGCCTGCACTTGATAGGCAGGCTGTCTATCACTTGAGTCATACCATTTTTGCTTTAGGTTATTTTTTCCTTTTTGCTTTTTGTCTCATCTGGCCTTGAACCATGATTTCCCAATTTCATCCTTCTCAGTTGCTATAAGACTATACACGTGAGCCACTGAGCCCTGCCAGTAATTTTCATTTGACTCACTGGGACTTTGATACTTGAGTATATGTAGCAAATTCATATCCAAGGATCATATTTGGAACACTAAGTTGGCAGATACACAAACCAGAGAACAACTTCACAGGAAACATTGATGTAACTGCAGTGTTAACCAAAGATGACACTTAGATTTAATCAACTCTTTGGTTGTATGCTATTCCTTTACCATCTATTCAGTGAGGAAAGCTTGCTTCGAAACTAACCTTTTCTGCTCATTTACTGAAAATTGCCATGTGATTACTGCAAGATAGAACCAAGATAGAGTCTTGGTTCTCAAGAAAAAAAAGCAAAGTGTCCAGCCCACTGGACTGGCTCATATGCCAATCTATTTTAAAATTCAGTGCAGTATTTAAGCAGCAAAAAATTAAAAACATGGGCTGGGAAGGTGGCTCAGTGGTAGAGCGCTTGCCTTGCATGCATGAGGCCCTGGGTTCGATTCCTCAACACCACATAAGCAAAAAGAA